TTGGTTACCAAGTAGCAGCAACTACGGCTAGAAGGTGAAGACAACTCAGATGAGCCTTAAGATTGAGTCTCTCTGTTGAACATTAGATGTTGGCTCTGATAAAGTTGCGACTCTACTTGCAAGTTTTGGAAAAGAACAACAACTTCTCTTCAGAAATTGAAGTATATAACTTTTTCTCACAACAAACTTGGACCTCTAGGTAATTTCACTTATTCTGAGTCATGGTGGCCAGTTTGAAAACTGTTGGTGGTGGCTGCTGGCTTGATAAATTGCGATATATTACAGTACCGTAAGCAAGGCAATATATTGCGATATTTTTAATAATAATTGTGAGACAACTGTCAAAGTATAAAGAACTCACCGTCATATGCATACAATCTGAGTAAAGAAAGTTGCAATGAGAATAGTTCTATCTGCCTTTTGCATTTATCACAGTCCCTGTAACATCCAACACCATGACATTATCTTTTGTGCAATCTGAGCCACTGTCTGCCATGAATCTTTGCACGTAAACTATACATTTAGAATCTATACAGTGTTTTCGAGAATCAATATGCGATAACAAAACCTAATATTATGTTAGTCAAGTGTCTGGATATGTCCGTACACCCTTACTGCTTGTCACATCTAAGCTCCATCCTCTTTGCCACACTTTGGATTTCTGGCTCCAGTAACTGACTGAGGTGACAGCATAGGTTAAAATCAAACTTTAAAATAACTGAGTTTGAAAGTGATGATAAAACAGTCCTTAGCATGGAAAAAATGTAAAACCAAAATAAAGCATAAATCAACACAATGATTCAGGGTCATGTTGTGGTGGTTTCTGTTGTGCAAATAGATTTCACCTCCACTAAAATACTAATATACCTGTGGAAACGATTTGGATGATATTGACTGATTTTCTCTCGATGACAAGAGGTAAAAGTAAATGTAATTCATTGGCGTCACTCTTGGAAGTTATAGGAGGAGGGGTTGGTGTTGCTGACTTCAGGAATGCTGTCGGATCAGAGTTGTAAACGGAGTTGGCCTTCTCCAACAATGGGGCATATTTTGCGAGATGCTGGGAGTCGATAGCAGGCGTCCGCCGTGACAAAGGGCCACTTCTCCGGCTCCGTGAGAAAGGCATGTTAGTTCAGCTCTTTGATACAGGACACTGTTTCTCTGACCACCATTCATTACCATGCATAACAGACAACTCAATGGACATTGCGCATTAGGCATAACTTGGCCCTCCTACACACTCTCAGAGGCTGTAATATGGAAGCCTGTGAGCCATACTTCTCTAAACTCTCCGAGGTGTCTCGTGAAACGAGCTTGGAGTGAAACACAGCTTGGGACAAGAAAAAAAACAAAAAAACTTGAGTTCTGTCTTTTTCCTGCCTCAGTGTTACTCGGTAGTTGAGAAGCGAGTTGTCTCGAAGCCCAGGGCTTTGGCAGAGCATCGGAAGAATAACATGGCAGAGTCATCCACATTTGTTTCCACTTATGTTACATGATCTTTAAGAGCCTAATTTGAACAAATCCCTTGCTTCGACCACACACTGTACTTTCTGAGAGGGCTCTTAACATATGTACGCTGGGTGTTAATGTCATGCTCAAAGTAAACAGGGCTTGGTAGAGTGCACTCTATTTCTGGCCTGAACTACCTCTAGTCTTTTATTAAGAAACCAAATGAAGCAGAAGCAACGAAGGCTGCCTGGACCCTGTCATTTCTGGGCCACTGTAACATTTCTCCAGCTCAGTCTCTGAATATTCTCTATCATCCTCAATATGTTGCAGTATAGGCTGTTAAAGTGAGACATGGAAATCTCCCATGGATCTGATGACATTCATTATATTTTCACTCACATTTGTTTCTCCTCCATCATCACATGCACTATGTATCAGCTATCTACTAACAATACAGCTAGCTGGAGCACAAGGTACTGTAAGCATCCAGACACCCATACCTCAACATGATGATCCCAACACAACTCAGTGAGAATTCTGACAACACACTCTCAAAGTACAAGCACACCTAAACAAAATGAAATATAGCTATATCAACTGAGACTAAAAAGTCCTTTCAGGACAACCTTTCTGTAGCTCGGCCTGAGAGTGTTTTGGTATTTCAATTTCTGAGCACAGAATCATTAAGCAGCATGTGTAAGGGAGGGGTGCGAGGGTGGAGAAGGGTGCGTTTAAAAGCTGTCAGAGAGGCAAGTGCCCGGGGTTACAGCGGGCGGCCTGAGTCTCTTCTACCACATGAAGGCAGCACGTTTTTGGTTGCTGAGATACCTCTCCTCAGCTTACAATGCTCTATCTCCCATTGCTGTGTGGCTGTGCCTCTGGTTAGCGGCACTTTCCCCAGCACACTGTGAGTGTGCTACAGTTCTGGGGAAAACCTGGGAGAGAGAAAGAGAGGGTGAGAAAAAGAAGAGGGGAGGAGAGGTGCTGGTGAAATGTTAATGTCTTGTCCTGTTCAATATCCGTACAGCTCTGCATCGTTGGTCAGGGGACGGCAGCCGCCCTCCCTGCCACACTGCGATGCAAGAATACATGAAACAGTGGGAGGCACCGCATGCGGATCAGAGTCAACCTTGTTCCTTGTTTTTCTCGAGCGCGCATATCTGCACACCCTCCCATACACAGACAACATAAACATTTCATGTTTTGTTAGTAACCATGCATGAGGAATTCCCCCATCCTGTTGGTGTGTCGTGTTTATATTGCCTTCTTGTTGGAGTGCATTGTGCAGGGTGAGCATCCTCACAGTGCCCCTCCTTGGCTTCTAACCTGACCTCGTTCTCTTTGACACACACTTGCAGTCGACCTGAAAGCGAGTCATAAGTTTTTGAGACACTGGCTAAATCCTCTCACACCAGGAGTGCGGGGGGGGGGGGGGGGGGGGCACAGAGAGATCCACTACGTTATTGTGTGTCTGGTCTGGGGAGGAGGTCACCCAAAGTTACAGGAAGGAAGCTTGAGGATGGCTGAGGAAAGAACAGGGATGTGTATGTGTGTGTGTGTGTGTGTGTGTGACAGAAAAAGGGCCGTGGTGGGCGGCGGGGGGGTAATGTCTGGCAGATGACAGATCTGTGAATTCTTTCCTAGTGCCCACAAGGCAAAAGAAGCGGTGGTGTGGCGGTCACATCTTCAGAACACTTACAGTCTTTATCCCGCTCGTCTTCCCCCATCCTGGGGGGCTCAGCCTGCTGATTATTACACAGGGGGCTATTCAGCAGCTGGCCCTCCTCCTCACCTCCCTCACCTCCCTCACCTCCCTCACTGCACACGCACTCTCACACACAAACACAGACACAACCGCCGCCCACTCTCAACCCATCTTCCCCTTCTGGGGTGATCTGAAATCATATTTTGCAGTGGTGCAAACATAATGGGAGGGGTCAGGACAAAGGAAGGCCTGCTTTTGGCACGAGCATCTTTTTGTCGCTCAGCACAAAAGCGGTCAGTTCAGCGCCTCATCCCACAACAGTGTCACACGGTCTTTTAACCCTCTACCCCCCTAAGCCCTGCCCACCTCCCGACCAAAAGAGCGCCTGGATGATATGCCAAAACCACACAGAGACGCACACTAAAACACACTTTGTGCTGATCCCTTAACACTTCAATCAAATTGTCCACCCATGCAGCGATACACCCCTCCCTCCTTAAGATTGAAATTCAGTTGGTGAATTGTGGACAGTACAATGTGTGTTTTCAATCCCTGACACCCCCTTGTCCACTCCAGCCCACACGCCTGCCTGACTTTTAGACTTTGTGTGTGTGTTGTTGTGGTGGGCTGGGATGGGGGGCAGTCAACAAAAGTCAATTGTCCTCAGAGTGGTGGTGATTGCATTTGATTAAAATAATGACAGGGTGTTGGGACAGAATGGAGGGCCCCTTGGTGGGAGTGTTGAGGACCTGACACCGAAACTGAGGAGGGGTCGAGAGAGAGTGAGAGAGAGATAGCGAGAGAGAGCGAGAGAGAGAGAGAAAGCGAGAGAGAAAATGCGCGCAAGAGAGAGAGCGAGAGAGAGAGAGAGAGAAAACGCGCGAGAGAGTGAGAGAGAGTGAGAGTGAGAGTGAGAGAGCGAGAGAGAGAGAGCGTAGAGTGAGAGTGAGAGAGCGAGAGAGAGTAGAGAGAGTGAGAGTGCGAGAGAGAGAAGAGAGAGTGAGAGTGAGAGACAGAKAGAGAGTGAGAGAAAGTGAGAGAGAGAAAACGCACGAGAGAGAGAGAGAGCGAGAGAGAGTAGAGAGAGAGTAGAGAGAGAGAGTGAGAGCGAGAGAGTAGAGAGAGAGAGCGAGAGAGAGTAGAGAGAGAGAGTGAGAGCGAGAGAGCGAGAGAGAGAGAGAGAGAGCGAAAGAGAGAGAGAGAGAGAGTGAGAGCGAGAGAGCGAGAGAGAGAGAGAGCGAGAGATAGAGAGAGAGAGGGAGAGAGAGAGCGAAAGAGAGAGAGAGAGAGAGAGCGAGAGAGAAAACGCACGAGAGAGAGAGAGAGAGCGAGAGAGAGTAGAGAGAGAGAGTGAGAGCGAGAGAGAGAGAGAGCGAGAGATAGAGAGAGAGAGGGAGAGAGAGAGCGAAAGAGAGAGAGAGAGAGAGAGCGTAGAGTGAGAGTGAGAGAGCGAGAGAGAGCGAGAGATAGTAGAGAGAGTGAGAGAGCGAAAGAGAGAGAGAGCGTAGTGAGAGTGAGAGAGCGAGAGAGAGAGAGCGTAGAGTGAGAGTGAGAGAGAGAGAGCGAGAGAGAGTAGAGAGAGTGAGAGAGCGAGAGAGCGAGAGAGAGTAGAGAGAGTGAGAGTGAGAGACAGAGAGAGAGTGAGAGAAAGTGAGAGAGAGAAAACGCACGAGAGAGAGAGAGAGCGAGAGAGAGTAGAGAGAGAGAGCGAGAGAGAGAGATAGAGGGAGAGAGAGAGCGAAAGAGAGAGAGAGAGAGAGAGAGAGAGAGAGAGAGAGAGAGAGAGAGAGAGAGAGAGAGAGCACTGTGTGGTTCATTGTCATGAAGCTGAAAGTGAGGCACTAACCTGTGTTACCATGAGATCGGGCCATGACGACAGCAGCACATGGAAAAGAGAAAGAAAACAATTCAATGACTTGTTGTGTGAACTCTGACTGAAAATGAAATCAGGAGGGAAGTATAGCAGTAACCACTATGAAGGATTGATAATCAGTTATAACATAGTAACAAAATAAAATATCTTCCAATCTAGTTCTAATCTGCAAAGGCTTTCAAAGGCCAACTTGTACATACATTTTAAATGTAATATCTGGTATATCTGTACCAACAGGTGACATGTGAAGAAAAAAGAAACCACCACAAATTACTAAACAATTTCACTGTTTACTAACCCTGCATATATGCTCTACCATATACCAAGCCAAGTCTGCTGTCAACAGGGATTTACTTAAAACAGAGTGTTTAAATGACCAGTGTTACCAGGACGGTCTCAGAGGAAACTTTACCCGCGGCACCTCATAATATCACTCTGTTCCTACAACAAACTCCAAACTGCTCTCAGCCAGTAAACTCAAATACAGGGCAGTATGAACTTCCACACTTAGCCAGTCTGTCCTTTGCCATGAACCTGCAGCGGCCAGCGGCAGTGTTGAACCTCTGCTTTTGATGCACGCCGAATAAAAGGGACCGAAGCTTTTACAAGTGGTCCGACAGCACTAAGTGTCTCTGCACTCAGTAAAAGCAGTGTTCAGGGTCGGATCAGGGGACAGGGAGAAAAAATATTGAGAAGAAGTGTGTGTGTGTGTGTGTGTGTGTGTGTGTGTGTGTGTGATTTAAGGCCATGGAGAATATGATAGCCGGTAGGGATGTCAGGAGCCTCTGAAAGGAGGACGTCTAAGCTGGGCTCAGACTCTCATCTCCTCACACGGCCTCGCCCTTTCCCAGCATCCCTCTCTTCGTTTATCCCTTACACCTTCACAGGAAGTTCAGCCTGGCCCTGGAGCATGAACCCCCACGCCTCTCCAACACGACTGGAGCACTGGTTCACACAAAGTAGATTTCCTGGATAAAGGAGAAAATGGCCGCTCGGTAACGTAAATAGGCTCGGGAACTTCGATGGTTGCTGTAGTTTTATTTTGTATGCTAACAAATGAAATGTGTTAACTCGTAAAATATAGTGTTCAAAAGTGTTATATTAGAATATGGAGAGTAAACCACAACATGCTGTCCTCAACGAAAACCGTGAAAGTAGTGGCCGTAGTAATTATGACGGGAGCAAAAGAGGAAGTCAGGTGACGTAGTATAAAGAGCGACTAAGTGCATATCAGGAGAAGGTCAGGATGGATGACAGGACTTTGAGCCAGAAGGCTCGTAACTACATCTCTATGTAACTACGTTTGTGCGTTACTACGTTGGTACGTAACCACATCTAAACTTTCTTACGTGAAGCCGATGATCTTTCCACCATGATCTTTCTCTAAAGTGGGCACGGCGACTACACAGGAAGTTACGTTAGGACTTCTGCTAACTTTACTGCTCAAGGAAGTGTATGTTTGCAGAGAATGCATTTTTACATCAGAAGAGTGTGATTGTGAGTGTGATGATGCTATGGCGACACACGGGACAGTCAAGTACATGTGTGTTCAGTCATGTGTGGCCCCCCCCCCCCCCCGTTTCAGCAGAAAAGCTGCTGTCTATCTATTAACACTTGGCTAAGATCATTGGCATTGTGCAACATGATAGATTACAAGCATTATGCGGCATGAAAAATTCATTATGAAAATATTTAGAATGCATGATAACTACAAAACTTTACACAATACTAAGCTAAATACAATGTATTGTAGATGAGGTCGTTGGGACTAATGTGATGATGAATTTACGTTCAGCCATCACAGTAGCCTGTATCTTAAGAGTGAACAGAGTGAAGTCTTTTAAAGGGGCACTTCACCAATATAACACAGAAAGTTCAGTTTACTTTACATGAGGTACACTACTCTTACTGCTCAACATGTGAAGACAGTTGTATAATGTCTGCGTTACAAACTGGAGGCGAGGAATTTGAAAGAAGTGTCCGTTTATGAGGCAGGGATGGTCCAGAGAAAGACTATCCAGTTGCATTTTGGGATGTTTTCTTTTTATTACTTTTATTCATTTATTTTTCTTAAATCTTCCTCCTGAAAGTATCCCAATTTTATGGAAAAGCAATACTAAATAGCTGGAGTATCCCTTTAAAACATGAATCTAACAATCAATAAAAAAGGCATTCAGTTGACTTTAAGAATCTCATCTCTCTGATTTATTTGTCAATTTGGAATTAATAAAATAAACGTGACACTTCATCTTCAGATCCATTGAAGGTTCTACCTTATGTCATTATAATAGAAGAAAAATATCAGCCATGCGCTGTCGTGATAGTTCAATATCAATAAATCAGACTAATACAAGAGACAGACTTAAGGAGGCACTAGAGGTGAATAGGGTAAAGAAAGGAACAAACAGATATCTCCATGAACCTCCCCAGTTAATAACTTATATGAAGAAAATCATTTTTATAAAGTTTTCTGAAATGTTCATTTAAATATGTAAATGCAAGATCGAATGCTCTAATTTAGGGGAAATCTACAGACATACATTTTTAAAGTAGTAAACTAAACCCATTGATGTTTTTCTTCCAACCAACAGCTAATGGGGAGTGTGACTATGGACAGCACTGCTGTTGGTGCCGACGGGAAAAGTGAACTGGTTTTTGTTGGCAGCGATAATAAAGAAAGACTTTGTTCAGTAGTGATGAAGTGAAAAGGAGAGAGAGAAACTGAGGGAGAGGGTGAGCGGAGTAGATGGCGATAGCAGAAGAAAGACAGAGAGGAGTAAGAACCACATGCAGAGAATTAGCAGTTCCCCACCATCAACAACAGCAGGACAGTGTGTACGGAATGTGTGTGTGTGTGTGTGTGTGTGTGTGTGTGTGTGTGTGAGAGAAGAGCCTGGGAGGACAGCCCGTGTGGGTTAGTGTGTCTTTTAAAGTGTACATGTGCCATAACATCCTTTAGTTAAAAGGCTTACATGTGGAATTAAATCTCAACACAATTCACATTACCAGGTTCTCCTCCACCGTTATCCGGCAGAGTCAGAAACCACAGATGAACATGGAAAAATAAAAATGAGTCTTTCTTATTAGAATGACATTTGATGTTTTAAACAGCTGGACACAATTATTTAGAACAATTATGCACATTTATAAAGTCTAGATTTTATAATAACATAGGAGTCGAATTAGATGTACATTTCTATTGTTATTTTTATAAACCAATTTAAGACAGAAATTATTATTTAAATGTATTTATAATTTATATATATGTTGATGTTGATTTATTGATTAGAAAATTAACAGCTGACAGGAACTCACGTTCATGATTATTTTGACATCTTTGATGGCGGTAAGGCAGTTAAGTCATCAAATATATGAAGATATATTGTTCTTTCATCCAGATGCTGTTTTTGTATTTATGGGAGTCCTCACTATGTTATTTTACAATTTTAGAAGTTATTTTAAGCCTTTCAAAATACACATTTGAACCCCTGTCCTTTGCGGGGTACAGTTGGACGTGCTTCTTCTCATTTGCAGCCATTTTCCATCCTTCAGGAAACAGAGCACTGATTGAGGCAGAAACGACTTTGTTAAAAATAAGTGAGGGGGAGTCCGACATTGGGCTGTAAGGAGATGAGGAGGAAGAGAACCAGGCAGTCGAGGTTTCAAAATTGGTTTTGTGTTAGGAATTCAGAAGAAAATGTATTATTTTATCAGAAACAAAATATGCCTTGTTATGTACTTTTTGTGGAAAAAACCCATTTGTAATATAATTCTTACATCCCAATTACTTAAATAATTCCTCTATTCTTCCTGCTCTGTTCCAATTGAATCATCAGATCCACTGAATCATGCCAGCTCCAAGAACAATACAAAATAAAACTGTGTGTGAAGGCCAGGACGAGCTGGCTCTTGAGGGAGAGGCAGAGTGGACGACGGTGTTTGGAAGCTTCTGGAGTGTTTTTCTGGCCGAAGCTCCGGCCAGACTCCTCGCTGTCCTTCAGAGTAAAAACAAAAACATTTGGAGTGTACGGCTCACAGCTAGTGCACATCTCTTATTTGTTATCACTGATGCTCCAGGCCCGGTTTACATTCTCCTGAGTGTGTCCACTGGCGTGTTCATCCGGAAATTTGTCCCGTCCGCCCCCTCCTGATTTAGATTCGGAGAGCAATAAAGCCTGCTGAGTTGTTGCCTTGGACAAATAAACTGACCAAAGTGTTGATGTAAGAGATGTCCCAAAGACTGAAAAAGAAGTTTGGAAGCGAGAGGAGGGAGCGAGAGAATGATATGCGTCGGTATCTCGCTCCTTCCTGTGAAGGTTTCCGGCGAGCCAGTAAACACGGCAGTGTCTGTCTCCTGTGGGAGCTCGGGGAGATGTGCTTGTGTGAGAGTGTGTTGTCGAGTGGATCTGTGTGTTTATGGGTGTTTTTGTGTCTGTGTGTGGTGGTGTACTGCTTGTTGGTGCATGCATACGTGGCCTGGGTCTGTGTGTGTGTGTGTGTGTCTACAGTTCCTCTCCTACTTTGCAAGGGAGTAGTGCTGGAGCCAAGTGGCCAGCTGCTCAAAGGTGTCTGTTTACAGGCTGATTCACAGAGCTTACAGGGAAGACGCACACACAAACCCACGCTCACTGTACACATGCGCATGCCTCGCATCACTCTGCAAGAATTCCAACAAAACACGCTACATATAAGGTTTGCCTTAAAAGCTTGTGAAGTCATTTCATTTGCTTCGTTTGTTAGCTCACTCGGAACATTAGCTATTTAACCACATTACCGCATAATTATATCACATGAAACAATTACTGGCGTGGACTGACTTCGTTATAGCGATTTCAGGAGTTCCCTGCTTGACCACCGAGCAAAGAGTTCAAGTGTTAAAAATTATTTATTCAATTACTCAGAATAACGTGTCATTGTGAACAACTCTGAGTGGCACATTTGAAGGCTGCTGTCCAAGAAAAGTCAGTGTCAGTACAAGAGGTGAAGTAAGAACACAGATGCTTTGTTTAAATCAATTCTACAGTGTGAAATACGCCAGTGCAAAAGGATGGCCGTATTTTCAACCCCAACAAGCCTTCAGTGGGCCACATAATGCTTACATGTCTTACAGTATGGTGGTTGTTTTTGCTGTAGGGACGATTATTTCAGCCCTCAGCACACCATGAAGCACACCTTTCATTACCATGGACAGCACCTCAGGAGACAAAGAAATATTTTGCCTCCCAAAATAGAAAGCTGTATAATAACTCTAGTAAACCCAAAACCCAAGGATTGCATTGGTGTGATCTAATGACCGATTGCCAGATACCTAACCAGATAGCTACAAATAAACAAGGTATTTGTCAGTGTGCACGAGCACAGGATGTCGCCTAAAGTGACAACTGTGACAAATGCTCTGCCAGCTATTGTATATTACTATCTAGCTGTCTATATCTGATCTTTCATTTCGGCATTTCCAGCCTAAAATGCTCTTTCAGTGTGTGCAGAACACAGCATTTCCATTGCAAAGGGTACTTTACGAAGGATGGAGTCAGCCTTCTGGAGCTCTTTAGGAAAGACAGACTTTGTCTTCGGCGTGACAGCTACCCGTTAGCGCACTGACAGGGTCTGTCAGAAAGAGCCACAAGCACAACGTCCCTCACAACGTTGACTGAGTGACACACATACAAAAACATCGGTGTTGAATTTAAATGCGTGGTGCATTGTTTTAGCTTTTATATTGGGTTAGGTAATATAATAATAAAATGAGTGGGACAGGACATGATAATGCTGAAAACAAGTAAGATATTATTATTATTATTTTTTTTTTTTACAGATATTTGTCAGAACTCGGGACACCGGAACAAACCGGCATGTCAGGTCACTGCACATTACAAGTAAAGTAGTCCTGCATTTAAAGTCCTACTTAAATGTACTAAATGTATCAACTTATACAGTAGTGGTTGTGCAGTTAAATGTCCCTTGTGACTGATACATTGCCATAAATGACATTCAATTGTTAATACTGATGCAACAATGTGAAATCAGTATTTTACTGTTCGCTGCTCAAAGTGGAGTACACAGCTGGGTGGTTGAGTCCAGTGGTGCCTGACCTAAGGGTTGGGCTACAAGGTCAATCTGAGAGGTCCAGAGATGATTGCGTTTTGAATTTGGACTTTTGTCTAATCTCTGCTATTTGTGAAAGATTAGATACTCAAAAGTTACTGAAAAAAAAAACATAAAACAAAAAGTGAAGTCTTAACCTGAGGTAACAGTCCAAGATAAACATATGTTCAATAGATGTAGTATAGGAAACGACAACACATGAATTATTGTTATTGTCACTGACAATATGTGAGGCTTATTACAGCCAGTGCCAACAAGAAGAGAAGAGAAGTACTGAGTGATAATCTTTCTAGAATAGAATAGAATAGAATAGTACTTTATTCATCCCCAAGGGGAAATTTGTCTGTGGCAGCAGCAAACAGGGTTACACAATAAAATAAAAATATTAAGTGTGGAAAATGCACAATATATACAATGTCATAAAATAAAATAAGCAGGACCTATTAGATTTAAGAAGATAAAGTAATAAAATTGCACAGTATATACACTAAATAGAATCGTATTAAATTAACTAAGTAGGAAAAAATAAACAAAACAGTAGTGCACAAGATCACCAGCAGCAGCAACAACAGTGTAGCATTGTTATAGTCTTGTGTTTGACTTGGCCAGAGGTGATTTATTATACAGTGTTATTGCAGAGGGCAGGAATGTTCTCCTGTATCGGTCCTTGTGACAGCGGAGCTGAATCAGTCTGTTGGAGAAAGTGCTCCGCTGTCCCTGCAGTAGGTGGTGGAGAGGGTGGTCCGGGTTATCCAATATGGATAATAGTTTCTTCAGTGTCCTCCTCTCCACCACCTCTTCCAGATAGTCTTGTTTGCAGCCAATGATGGAGCCGGCCTTCTTAATCAGTTTAAGTCTATTGGTGTCTCCTGCTCCAATGCTGCTCCCCCAGCAGACTACGGCGAAGTACAGTGCACTGGCCACAACAGACTGGTAGAACATCTCCAACATCTTGCTGCACATGTTGAAGGATTGAAGTTTCCTCAAGAAAAAGAGTCGACTCATCCCCTTCTTGTACACAGCGTTGATGTTGGTCTTCCAGTTCAGCCTGTTGTCGATGGAGACACCCAGGTAGTTGTACTCCACCATGTCCACCTCCTCTCCCAGAACTTTCACCGGTTGTGGAGCCGTCGTCTTCCTCCTGAAGTCGTCCTCTGGTCTTGGCCACGTTCAGAAGCAGGTGATTTCCACCGGCCCACTCTACAAAGTCATCCACTACTGCCCTGTACTCCTCCTCCCGTCCGTCCCTTATACACCCGACCACTGCAGAGCCATCAGAGAACTTCTGCAGATGGCATGACCCTGAGTTGTACTGGAAGTCAGTGGTGTACAAGGTGAACAGGAAGGGAGACAGAACAGTTCCCTGTGGGGCTCCAGTACCACTGTCCACCGTATCAGACAGCACACTGCCCAGTCGGACAAACTGTGGTCTGCCTGTGAGGTAGTCAGTGGTCCAGGAGACGGTGGATGCATTAACCCCCACCACCCGCAGCTTCTCACTCAGTAGCACTGGTGGGATGGTGTTGAATGCACTGGAGAAATCAAAGAAAGTGATTCTCACAGAGCCACCGGTTCCGTCCAGGTGCGCCTGAGCTCGTTGCAGCAGGTAGATGATGGCGTCGTCCACTCCCACATGAGGCTGATATGCAAATTGCAGAGGGTCCAGTGAGGATCTCACCTGCGGTCGAAGGTGGGCCAAGACCAGCCTCTCCAGCACCTTCATCACATGAGATGTGAGGGCAACTCCATCTCATGTGTCTAACCCGACAGTCTTTGTTTACGGTTATATGGCTGATGGAATTATGAAATGAAGTAGCATAAAATAAGCTGCTGAAAATGCATATCAGCAACCATCTTCAGAGAGTAAGTGAGCGGCGTGTCGAGTGTTGGGTGGCAGTGTGAGAAAGCACAGGGCCGCGCTGTGTCTAACTCAACACAGCTGAAGGCTAAGGAACTGGCGGGGCGGCCTGGCTTTTCTCATTAAAGGTGAGACCTTGTCGCTCTTACATATGTTAATAGGTGAGCAGTGTGGGCAGGCTCAGAGTGAGACCTGGAGGGCTAGAATTACACCTGTGTATGAGCGTGCTGTAAAGTGACACACAGCTGGGCTTTAGGGCAGGCAGGTTCCAGGAAATATGAAGTGATGTCCAACTTGCAAAAGAGATTTTGTCTTTTTTGTGTGTGCACATGGCTCAACACTAACTCTCAAAAGTGGTTGCCAGGCAGGAAACCAGACATCAACTTTTGGTTGCTGAAACGGAAAATATGTTTTTTTAAATCTTTAGTCACCTTATAATTTGAGCTATTGAAGCCACCACCACATTATGTCGTAGCTGCTTGGAGCTCCAGTGCGTGTCCGTCCCTGTGCTCCTGTATGTGCTACCATGAACTAGTGAACTTAATCTTCCACTGATCCAGGTGTTGTATATGCATTCAAAATACCCGTCCGGCTCAAAGATACCGGAATACTTTGCCTACCAAGATTTCACAAATTTCCTTTTTTTTTTCATTCAGGTTCATCTTGTTGTTTGTCAGTTGCACATTTTGCACAATTTGCACATGTGTTAGTAATATTGACATGTTAGTGGAACTTTACACCACACAGTGGTGTACAACTTCATCTGCTCACCATTGTCTCTAAAACAGATTCCTCTGCCTGTTACAGCAATATTGCACTAATGCAACACGTCTTGCTGTTTGCTGTCAGTTATATGTTCAGAAGTTGTTGCCACTGACGGCAACCAAAGGCTAAGAATCAAAATGGTTGCCCATGGCAACCTGGTAAACCTTTCTGTCCAGCCCTGCTGCATGAGTGTGTGTGTGTGTGTGTGTGTGTTCTGAAAATGCTTCAGGATATTTCTACCACAAAACAGTGACACATGTTTTGAACAAAGGGCTGCATGGCGTTGCTTTACTTATTTTTGAAACACACTGCTACACACACACACACACACACACTCTCACACACACACACACACACACTCTCACACACACACACACACACACACACACACACTCTCACACACACACACACACACACAACTCTGTTGATGGCTGCTGGCTGAGGCCTCTCCAACAACACACTCAGACCAGCCTCCATTGCCTCACAATTACTGCTTTCTCCACAAAGTGTGCATGTGTGTGGAGGGCTTCACTTGGCTGATACTATTGTATGTCATATTGATTTATAATGACAATTATATGCACTCTTTTCCTTTTCTTTATTTCTTAACTTTTCTCTTCTTGCTTCCCTCCTTTCTGCCTTCTTTGTATCCCTTTTACCCTCCATTCTCTCTTCATTCTATTACTCCCTCCTTCCTTTAATTCTCTTTTTATTTTGTCCCTCCCGCTGTCCTTTCATTCATTCTTTCTTCTATCCCTTCTTCCTTTCGATGGATGACAATACTTTAATTCAGTATTTCTGTCTTTAGTTCTCCTTCAATGTCCTGCTCCTTTTTCTGTTACTCGTTCTTTGTAAGGATTCTTCTGCTCTTCCTGCATTTGACGTCCCTTACAATATGTCACCACTACTGTAACAGAGGGGGTTAGCGGCTTCCATAAACATGTGTAGTATTTGACAGTTCAACAATAAGCATGTACTCATTTACTCAGCATCACATCTATTGCATCACCATTAGATCACACTACACACCAGATGCCATTTGAAATAAAGAGATGCTTGTGAGTTAAGATTGTTTAAAGATTAAAGATTATTTGTACGTTTAAGATGTGTGCGCACAATCTTTCCTTGCCTAATGGCCCGTACCACCTGAACATGTGTGAATGGGAAGTTGTCTGGTGTGTGTGTTGGGATGCCCTCTGGAGAGAGACAATAGCACCCCAGGACACTGATCTGGACCCCAGACCCCAGAGGTCACGAGTTCTGACCTTTAGGGAGCAGTCAGTAGTGAGCCCACAGGGTCGCAGGTAGGCTTGGATTACTGCACTCCACACACACACACACACACACGTTCATGCGCACAATGGTATGACAAGTGATATGTCAAAAAGTGGCGGCATGTGCACACACACACACACACACTCACGGCTTGAGGGGAAATCAAGCTGTCGCCTCTCAATGACCTTTAACAAAAGGACCATTGAAAATAACAAGACAGGCTCTCACAGTGGCAGTTGAAGAAAAAGCTTCCCTTTGTTACTCAAGGCAACTTCTCAGCACCACGCCATTCAAAACACCAGATCCTCTCAGCGGTGCCAAACTGCTTTTACAAGGGTTCACTGCACTTTGAAGAGACGACTACTGGATACTGGTATTGGAAAAGTGACATCCGACTTTGGCATCCTAACCTACAATCAGTTTTGACACATCACAACAGCACAGATTGTCACAGAATATGGTGCTTTAAAATGAATATGGTTTCCTTTTACATGGCTCAGCAGATGATTTTTACATCAGTAAAACTAACCAGTGGTTATTCTAGGGTTTTATATTGCCTTATAAAAGTTTAAAACTTGCTGCAGTCTATGCTCATATGCTTTGATAGGAAGTGATGGGTTTGGCTTCTGGTCAACACACTTGATACTGTACATCGACTACAATGTTTATTATTTTAATATTGGTCAAACAGTGGAGTCCCATCCTTCTAATCATTTTCAAGTCCAATTGAGGACATGTACTGCCATTAAATGCAGAACACTATTTTAATATGATGAACCTTATTGAGGAGGGGTTTACCAGACGTGAAAGGTCGGTCCGCTTTTATGTTGGATAATTGAGCTTCTCTTTTAGCACATTAATAGTGGTGTAACGGACCTCTGTCGATCCGTGATCCGTACGGATCCCCCTTAACGGTTCACCACACATGTGAACCGCTGATTAATGACACAGTTTAACGTTAAATCACAGAGTGAAATAAAGTTTTACTGACATCTTTATCCACCAATACTCAGTGAAATATGAGATCAGGACGTCATGTATGTTTCTCTAGCCTCTGATCTCTGATCATGTTACATTGTAAACAACCAGTCAGTGTTTGAACTGACGGAGGAGAATGAAGGTTCTGTTCAGTTACATTATGATGCGTTCAGGCTCTGTTCAGTGAAAATGAGTATTGAGTGAAGGTAAATTATAACGTTATCATGATGTGTTCACATGTGATCTGTAAAATGTAGTGTTGGTGGGAAACTTGAATAAATCCAGTTGTTTGAAGGAGATGTTTTCACAACATAAATAGATATTAGAGATGAATTATGAGCTGTTAACACTAGCTATAAGCAGCTTATAATACATCATTAAAACCACTAATGACAAGATTCATTTTAATTAATGAAAATACAATCTTTTATTTCATAATCATTTGAATTGTGTGTTTTTTATGGTTTACAAACTTCAGAGTGATTGAAAC